GAAATAGTAGTAAAATAAAATTGTGAATGCGAGTCAACAAAGAGGATGACATGGCCTTTCACCCATGACCTGTTTGATTTTACACAAGCAAATGACATTAAGTTTTACAAATTCTGTTTGATCCCTTCCCTCAAATTATCAAGAAAATAATATTATAATGAAATGTTCAGACTTCAAATTTTTTTTGCTGTATATTTTACTAAAACTTTTTTTTGGATAATTTAATAATTAGAGAAAACAAAACTTCATAGAAGTTAACCCTAATAATGATTCTGTGTGCCCTACCGTGATTACAATACTTACTTGGAAAGAAGAAATCCTCAAACTTCACACCTGTTTGGGTAAAACTTGTTAATGTAAAAACAAGCTGCAAATCTGTGCTTTTTATACATGTTTGTTCTAAATTTCTAGTTCAAATAGTTTGAAAACAATGAATCTTTTAAAGCTGGTGGTGTTAAAAAACTGTTGTTAAAAAAGCTACAAAAATGGGCTATCTCTGCTTTGCCCACCATGAGTATTAAAACTTTAGAATTCAAGTCCCTACATTTTTGTTTTACAACTTCTAAGTTTCTGAAGCTAATAAGAACATAAATATATCATATGAAAGTTGGAATTATTTTGTTTTCACAGCCTACGTGCCACAAAGTTCTCATTCTTCCTTCAATATAAGAATTGTACATCTAAACTTTCAGTTAGTATGTCACAAATCTCTCGAGTCCATGCTTTCATATTCTAAATACATAATAGATTTGTATTACTTTTTTGCTATAGATAAGTAAAAAATTAACTTAATGTGTTTGCTTAGTATGTTGAAGAAAATGCTTTGCAAATCATTTTCATAACACAGAAGAATGGACATTACCTTCTGAAGATCACTGATGAGGACTTAATGATCTTTTTTTCTTTCTTTTGTTTGGAAACAGCTTTAAGTAAATTTTAAAATAAATATAAAGATGTGGTTAATCTACTACAGATTGGCATCTCATCCAAGAGAAATATGTCACCATTCTAATCAGCTTGTGCTACTGAAATTGGAGTTTGTGCTGGATTTAACTATTAATGGTTATAATTATAATAAATGCATGATAATGTATGTGGCTTATCATAATTTTAATTTTGAGATGTTTAAGACTGTAAATGGAATTGATAGTGTTGATGTATCATCTTTTTTCATAATAACAGTGAGAATAGTAGGACCAGGGGACACAAATATAAATTTTGGCAGGGTAGGAGCCATCTTCAGCTTAGACAGTTTTATTTTTCTAACATGGTGGTTGGCCTCTGGAATGGGTTGACTTCAGATGTTGTGGAGGCTCACAATAACATAATTACAGTGATTTCCCAAAGTAGGGATAAATTTCAAGTAATTCAGTTTTGTAGTTTTGACTTTCATGTTTCAAGATTTTTTGTAGCATTAAAACTTTCTGTATCACTATATCTAGCTAGATTACATATATATCAATCCATACTTTTTTGTCTTTATAAAATTAAAAACATTTTTATTAACACTTGTTTGTTAAAAGACTACAAGAAAAGGAAAGATTCTGTGTCAAAAGCTTTTGTAATGACAAGTGTTATCAGATCAGAGAGAGATAAAATAATACTCTTGAAACTTGGACAACAGGTATGTACCCATGATATAATTAAATAAAACATTTCAATTCATATTTTTTCAACAACTATGAATATCTAGATAATTATTTTCACTTAAAATGCTGTATTACCAGTTAAAAATTACTATTCCATTGCAAACTTTACTATCCCTACACTACTTGGCAATGTGCTCAATGTGCCAAGTGAAAATGGTGGTATTTGGGAGACAATAAGCTATTACAAATGGATATGTCAGATCTAGGGATATTACATTTCACAATAACATGCAGTCAACAAGGTGAATATACTGATTAGTATCAAACCACAGAGGTGCCAAACACTTAGTATCAAACCACAGAGATTCCAATCACCTGTTTACCTGTTTAGCCAAATGACAGGCTCGATCAGGAGCATTCAGAATTTCATAATAAAACACTGAAAAGTTCAATGCCAGACCCAGACGAATAGGATGTGTTGGCTGCATTTTACTCTTTGTAATATCAAAAGCCTCCTGGTAAGCTTTCTGAGATTCCTCAATCACACCTAAAGATCAAGAAAGAAGGGAAATATTTTTAGAATGTTTACCTGTTTTGCCAACTGGCAAGCCTTGTCAGGCGAATTCAGTATTTCATAATAAAATACTGAGAAGTTCAAAGCAAGGCCCAACCGAATAGGATGTGTTGGCTGCATTTTTGTCTTACTGACATCAAATGCTTCTTGGTAAGCTTTCTGAGACTCATCAATAACACCTGCAAGTCAAAAATAAGTGTCATCAGTTTATTCTGTAAAATTAATAAAATATGTAATTTCTTCAGAGGCCAAACATGTCTTATTAATTAACCTGATGTTTACTGTAGTAACAAAAGATATTTCCAAAACAAAACAGCTAATTAAAGAACCAACATTTCCTCAACTTTTAAGATATCTTGAACGAGAAAACAAATTTATAGTATCAATGTAACTAGAAATAACCTATTTTCTATTTCTACAAATAAATATATATAATCACCTTTTCCAAACCAAATGCTTGCGAACATTTATAAAAATAACTTTTTTTAAATTACTCTTCAAAGAATTTTTCAGTTAACATCTTATTTGACTTTGCATTACTTATTTATCTAGAATTAAACTAACCAAGTTATACCTAACTCTCAAAATTAGTGAATGTTTCTGCACAATAGCAAATGGAAACTTCAAACTGTACTCTTATAAAATTTTGCATGTAACAATATAACCTGAAATATGTAATGTGTTTTCTATCTTATAGTCTTAAATGTTATTCTTTTCTATTGTTTTTGAAAAAATGAACTTATATGACTAAACTTCACCTCTTAATGCTAATAAACAGTGATATTTCCAGAAAACATTTTGCTAACTCCGGTGTATGCTAAATGCATTTCACAGGATTATCAATGTTTTACAGTTTACATAAACCTATTACTAAGTACAAGAAATACAATAAAAAGCACACTAATTTGCTAAGAAATTCAAAGTATTCATATATAATGAAAAACAAGTTAGAGCACAAAGGACAATAGGAACATTCATATTATGGTGAAATGTGTTAATCCGAACACACTTGTAATGATTAATCCTGGATTATTGACACACCCATATAGCCTAATCAGTAAATTTGAATACAATAACACTATTAATAGTATGCATTATCAATCTACATATGCAATTAGTAATAAAACAACAAAAAACTGTATGCTAATAGACTAAGCAATAATAATAATTAATTACATAAATTGCATGACCAAAGTGACACATGTCAATCGTCACACAAATCATTTTGTTGAAACCAATGACTTATTTATATAATATAAAATGCAGAGTAAATGTGTTGCTTACTTGTATAAACAAACATAACATTTTAATGATGCTAATTTTTCTATGCATTTTTGTTTTGGATCATAGTTACTTGACTGTATTATAAATCACTCTGATGATCTCGCAATATCCATTACAGTTTATAATTACATTATAATTGTTGTAAATGGGCACCCATTGCAAGTACAGGTGTTAAAGTCAGTAATTATCACCCTGTTTCCTGTTCTCATTGACCCCTACTTGACTACTGTGAAATTGTGTACAAATTACTGAATCATGTATCAACAGGAAATGGATATTAGAAATAATTGTTCGGATTCAGAACACAATTTAGTGATTAGTGATTAAATTTCCCCATTGTGAAGTTTTCAACATGAAAAAATCTTCCAGATTATGAATAATCCCGTCTTTTGACATCCAGACTAACAAAGATTCACTATATAGTGAAATTAGCTTGAGAATAAGAGAAAAATGTTAATAATTAAAAAATAAAATATTACGTAGTCTAATCCAATATCGTCTCAAACGAACAAGGACGGCATCATTTCCCAAATCAACTTAAGTTCATTTGAAGTCAAATTTCTGTCACTGTGGTAATGTTTAATGTTTTTAACTTCAGGAAAAAGTTAAGACATGATTACTATACCAAACTTTACTTTGCCACAGTTTTAACTTTTCATCTAACAAGGATTCAACAGTCTTGAGATACAAATAAACTTTCCATTATGAATGTTAACTAGAGCTACATGCTTTTTTTTTCTTCTTTTGAAATAGTTTATTATGTTTTTGCTGGAGAATTATTGTTCTATTTACTACATCTACAAAGTTTCTTCAGTAATCCTAATAAGTTACAAATAATTTATGACATTCATTAGATAAAGAAAAGCTTTGTTTTAAAATAAGTCACAATGTTTATCAGCAAACTTCCAATTTCTTAAATTACCTTTAGAAGACTCATATTTACCTTAAAACCTTTTTTAAAAAACAACAACAAAACACAATATGGTCCACTTTAGCAAGCTTTCACAAACAATACATTTCCCTAGTGTGCATTGATGTTAAAAACTATTAAAACTCCAATCACTTTCTTATTTATCTCCTTTTAAATTTTTGCTCAACAAAGACTAAGTTTTATACTATTAACTCTTTCAACATAACCATAACCTCATTATAGTTTGCATACTAATAACTTTTAATATTTTAAGTGTATCTTTACAAAATATTGTACACTTATAGTAAACATTAGAAGCCTTTTGCACACAAAAAATAAATTTTTTAATGAAGTATTTTTACTTAAATTTGTCCGTGAAAATATCGATTCTTTTTTTTCAATTAGTCTGAGTGCAAAGTGATTTTCATGTCAAAATTAAAAATACTTTTCATCATCTAAAAAAATGTGCAGCTCACGCTACGCTATCGAATTACATTACCCACGAGCTGCTTGCGTACGTGCCTCGTAAACCATTTCAATTATATTATTATTACTTATTTTACCTAATCTAGTCTTAAATAACTTAAAAAGATCCATACTTTTAATTTTAGTTACTTTTATATTAATAAATAAAGAATAAATATGAAAAACAAGAAATAAAGTACTTAACACAATCTTCTTTTTTTATTGCCCTCGATTGCGAGGACAGTTAAGCCTGATTTTTTTTAGTGATTATAGTAAAGCAGTAAACAATTTTTACTTAATTAAATAATACACCAAAGAATATTGACTAATAACATGCAAAAAGTAGACAAATTCACTTACCTAACAAAATTTTCCTGGCTTTAAACTATGTGACAAGAGCCGTCACAAATTCTTCCAAGCTAGTCGTTAACTTTCACACAGGAATGAATCTTGTACTGTGAGCGAAATTAACAATATTCTGTTCAGAATACAACGTTATACAATATGTCATTTCATAGATTAAAACCTTGACTTTCTATTGGTTATAGGTAATATACAATGAAACTTACAAGAGAACTATCAACAAATTGTGAAAGAGAGAATGTGATAAGTGAGTGTGACAGGAGGGGTCTGATTTTCTATTGAATAGCTCTGTAACCAAACAAAATTGAAGTTTATAAAAATTATGGTCTGTTTCAGCAATAACGGTTTTATAGTGTATTT